ACCCACTATTTCTGGCATAGGCACATCGAGAGCTGTTTAACAACATGTGGGCTGCATTATTTGAACAGAAAATGATGGAAAACTGGTTGAATAAGAGTTTAATAACATGCAAAGAAAATCAAAACGATCTATGAAAATGTAGTTAAGCATTTGTTACTCTCTATTGGAAATCAAGGGCTGTCAATTTACAGTAAATCACCTCAATGTAATTTATTTAGAATGCTTAATGCATTTCTGTATAGCCAGAGTGGGAAAACTCATGGAATGGAATTAAAATGGGTAAATCTGGAATTAGATCACGGTCCCAGGGCTCAATTACCAATTAGCCTGCCTGTTGTTTCTGACCTGAGCAGTAGTACATAATTGTCTCAACCTGCTGTCATAATCGCTATGGTGCCAGAGCAGCCATCATAGCGATTATGACAGCAGGTTGAGACAATTATGTACTACTGCTCAGGTCAGAAACGGCTAGTGTGGCTGTTCCATGAGGTAGGCAGACGTGGCTTCTGGGGTGGCTGATGATATTTGACAGCCTGAACCTCTCATCCTATGTAAGAGGGTTTTAAGACTACAGAAGCACACATGAAAGACTGCTGTCATCATCATGGAAACTTTTCAAAGGCATACAGTATGTAGGATGTGTGTGTGTGTGTGTGTGTGCTTGCAGATGTAGCCTATCATGTGGGTGAAGTGTATATGGGAATGAGTGCCTGTGAGGCTATCTATGAACATCTGTGTGCCTGTGTATTTGTGATTGTATGTGTGTGGTGGATTAGTTGCATGAGTGTGTATCACCATTGATGCTGTACTAGAAAGTACTTTGGTCATAAACATCACACTGCTTCTGACTGCAGGCACTGCCATTGTGCCACCCTTTACATTTAAAGAGTAATGCGGAATCAGTTTCAGACAGCAGAGAAATTCCTAATGGCCCTGGACTTTGTGGTCATTTGGGATGTATGTTGAATTGAGACAGGAGTGCTTGATTATCCTGTTATGCCCTCTAGTAGTAGAAATTGGACATTTTCTGCAGTACCACTGGCAGCACTTCTACCATAGAGTTTTGCTTATTCGGACAGCCCAGTAAATCACTGGGACCGAGCTCCCTACCACCCAGGACCTCTATATCAGGTGAAAACAGGATTTTAGACATTTTTGCACATTTATTAAAAATAAAAAACTGAAATACCTTATTTACATAAGTATTCAGACCCTCTGCTATGAGACTCAAAATTATGCTCAGGTGAATCCTGTTTCCATTGATCATCCTGGAGATGTTTCTACAACTTGATTGGAGTCCACCTGTGGTAAATTCAATTGATTGGATATGATTTGGAAAGGCACACACCTGTCTATATAAGGTCCCATAGCTGACAGTGCATGTCAGAGAAAAAACCAAGCCATGAGGTCGAAGGAATTGTCTGTAGAGCTCCGAGACAGGATTGTGTCGAGGCACAGATCTGGGGAAGGGTACCAAAAACGTTCTGCAGCATTGAAGGTCCCCAAGAACGCAGTGGCCTCCATCATTCTTAAATGGAAGAAGTTTGGAACTGCCAAGACTCTTCCTAGAGCTGGCCGCCCGGCCAAACTGAGCAATCGGGGGAGAAGGGCCTTGGTCAGGGAGGTGACCAAGAACCCGATGGTCACTCTGACAGAGCTCCAGAGTTCCTATGTGGAGATGGGAGAACCTTCCAGAAGGACAACCATCTCTGCAGCACTCCACCAATCAGGCCTTTATGGTAGAGTGGCCAGACGGAAGCTACTCCTCAGTAAAAGGCACGACCGCCTGCTTGGAGTTTGCCAAAAGGCACCTAAAGGACTCTCAGACCATGAGAAACAAGATTCTCTGGTCTGATGAAACCAAGATTGAACTCTTTGGCCTGAATGCCAAGCGTCACGTCTGGAGGAAACCTGGCACCATCCCTACGGTGAAGCATGGTGGTGGCAGCATCATGCTGTGGGGATGTTTTTCAGCGGCAGGGACTAGGAGACTAGTCAGGATCGAGGGAAAGATGAACGGAGCAAAGTACAGAGAGATCCTTGATGAAAAACCTGCTACAGAGTGCTCAGGACCTCAGACTGGGGCAAAGGTTCACCTTCCAACAGGACAATGACCCTAAGCACACAGCCAAGACAACACAGGAGTGGCTTCGGGAAAAGTCTCTGAATATCCTTGAGTGGCCCAGCCAGAGCCCGGACTCGAACTCGATCGAACATCTCTGGAGAGACCTGAAAATAGCTGCGCAGCGACGTTCCCCATACAACCTGACAGAGCTTGAGAGGATCTGCAGAGAAGAATGGGAGAAACTCCCCAAATACAGGTGTGCCAAGCTTGTAGTGTCATAACTAAGAAGACTCGAGGCTGTAATCGCTGCCAAAGGTTCTTCAACAAAGTACTGAGTAAAGGGTCTGAATACTTATACAAATGTGATATTTCCCTTTTTTTTTTTTTTTTTGCAAAAATGTCTAAAAACCTGTTTTTGCTTTGTCATTATGGGGTATTGTGTGTAGATTGAACAATTTGATCAATTTTAGTATAAGGCTGTCACTTAACAAAATGTGGAAAAAGTCAAGGCTTCTGAAAACTTTCCGAATGCACTGTAGCTCCATTATTATGTAGTTATTCCTCTTGTGTTACCATTTTTCATTTTATTATTATAATTTTTTAACTGCAACATTGGGAAGGGCTCATAAGCAAGCGTTTCATGGTTAAGTCTACCTGTTGTATTCGGAGCATGTGACAAATACAATTTGATTTGATTTAAACATACTACACTTAATCACTTAATGATTAACAGGCACCTGTGGTTAATAAAATATTTGTAGACTATTAGAGAACAATATTATCAATGTCAGTACAGTATGAAGATAGGCTTACACTGCTTCTCCAATAGAAATCACCGATCACATTTGTAGGCGATGTTATGGCGACGTTGATCAACTAAGCTAATGCATGGAAACACGTACGTGATCGGGTCTAACGTTCGTCTCGCGCCAAACTGCGCATGTGCAAGCCATCAAAGGCACTCCTTCGATTTAAAGTTGTTTTTTACAAAAAATTTGAACGTGTCAGTTTGTCACTTTCACGGGGTTGGAGTAATAACATGTTCAACTATTTACGAGATTGGCTCGAATCTAGGTTGTGCCTTTAGATTTCGATAAAATTAACAACTAAGGAAGATTTTTTCACTTCTCTCATTGACTGACTTCTCAAACCCCAAACCCTGGCCTGGTCTGTTTCGCAAGCGTCCGCGGGAGTCTCGCGATGTTGAGCCTCTGGGTTTAGAAACTGTGATATTATTTAAACGTAATCGTTCTATAGACTTGCAAAGGATAATCTATGGTACTTTTCAAAGCAGAGGAAAATAGCTTAAATAAAGTTGGGTATTCAGTAAATGGCTTGGAATACAATACAAATTGACAACTTGCCTTGCATAAAAATGCTTACCTAAAGCTGTCAAATGCAACTGCTTCCATAATAATTGGTCTGCAATTTAATTGCAATGTTGTTGAGGAATTATTCTAGTTAAATCTGTCCAGTATCCCAAGATGAACTCAGGCAATTCTAGGACTACCAACCGGGCCTTGCAGCCATCTGACCCTGTTCTCGTGTCTCGTTAGCATCTAGTGCAGCCAGCCAGCAGAATAGTGTATAGTTGTCGGTGAGGCCGGCGAGGCGGAACACCATTGTCGAGACAAAATAACATACAAGTTACACGAAATATATAGAGCTAAAACTACAAACGTCAGACGACGAACCAAGACATATAGCCTAAAGGTAAGTGAATGTTGTCAGCATCAAATTCAGAAATATTTTTGCTAACTAAGTTAGCGAGCTAGGCTAGCCTCTCAAAAGTCGTCTATCTAGCTAGCATTGTCCAGTCATCCAATCGATTAAACGGAATCCAAGTTCAGTGTTCACATTAGCAAGGTACATTTCAACAAAATAGTGTGATGGCTGTCGTTCAAATAAATGTAGTTAATCATATTTTTCGAATCGCGTTATTCAGCTATCGATTTCTACCTCGCATCTAAGTGATTCGCGTAGCCAGCTAGCTAACGCCGGTCTCGGTAACAATGCGAGGAGAAAAACGAACTAGCTAACATTAGCTAGATAGCTAAATGTTGCTAAGCTAGCCATGCAGCCGGGTGGGGGTTGTTGTGGGATGGGATTCAAGTTTAAGCCTAATTTGATGACCATCTGTTTTCAAATGGCATAAATGTTATACTTGTGACGATATGTAGCTAGCTGCATCAATAATTGTTTTGTCGGAATTAGTTATTTGTTTGATGTTGATGGAAGATGAGTAGCGTAGCTAGCTAACGTTAGGCAGGTAACGTTTATGCTGTTCAATGGACAATGCCCGGCTGACAGTCCCTCGACTCACAAAGGACTTGCAATTTATCCCCGTTTTCCCTTTTCTGTGCCTCGTCGGCTTCAGTTTCTTAGTTGGCTAATAGCAAAAAATCTGGGAATACTAACGTAAACTAGCTAGGTACTAGTTATTGAATTATACTTGTTTTGAGAGTTTGCGAACGTTAGCGGTTGACAAAAATGTTCCTGCAAAGCGACACAATATCCAAATTGATTCATATTTACATTTTACATCATTTAGCACACGCTATTATCCAGAGCGACTTACAGGAGCAATTAGGGTTAAGTGCCTTGCTTAAGGGCACATCGACAGATTTTTCACCTAGTCGGCTCGGGATTAGAACCAGCGACCTTTCGGTTACTGGCACAACGCTCTTACCCACTAAGGAACATGAATAGGTAGTACCCCATGCTTGATTTTTTTTGTATATTAAAATGCCTGTTGTCTGACCCCTTATGTGGTCAACAATGTAATGCTATTGTTCAGATGAGGCCTTTGTTGTTTACAGCACCATGTTTTAATCATCAACATATTATAACCTTTATTGTATTCAATTACAGGCTCAGTGTTATTTAGCCTTCACTAATAATGACTACTACAAATAATGTTCTGTCTTCTCATCAGATGCCTTCAGCAACAGTTGGCAACAATGCTTTTCAGTCCTCCAGCCCAGAGTTGGGTTCTGGGACCCAGTCTGAGGCCATGAAGCAGGTCCTGCAGGTGATCGACAAGAAGGTCCGCAACATGGAAAAGAAAAAGGTAACAATGTTTCCTTTTTTTCATCCAAGCATGCTTTCAGAGACCTCCCAAAAAGCATAGATTGTTTCATGCTTAGTCATTGCTTGAGATCAACTGCAACTGAGGAACAATTCTGGATGTCTCTCTTGTCTGGGAAGATTGTCTGCTTTATGACCCTGCATTGACTTTCTCAAAGTTGGTAATTAAAATTAAGGCTACAGACAAATTTAGTTGGTGTAATCAATCATTAACCTGTGACTTATTTGGCGTTAGAGTCACATCACTTAATAGATGGTATATACCCAGGTAAACCAAAGTTGGTATATTTCTGCTGAAAGAATCTCAGCAGACCTTTTTGTAACCCTTATTAAATGTGCCATATTTTTATAGGGCAAGCTGGATGACTACCAGGCCAAGAAGAATAAAGGAGAACTGTTGAACCAGGATCAGCTGGTATGTACAAGACACTGTGGTCTGGGTTGATGTTAGCTCAGGGAACTTCAATTGTGAACTTGATTGATTAACCTGTTGCATATGTACTATAATCTTTCATTCTTGAGCTTTCCATTGTTTCTATACTTTGGTGTTTGTTGTTTTGATCTGTGACACAGCTAGCAAAACATATTTAATGTTCATTCCCTCTCTTGTCTCGTCTCATCTGTAGGATGCCTTGACTAAGTTCCAGGAAGTGACCAACAACCTGGATTTTGCTCGGGAGTTGCAGAAGAGCTTCCTGTCTTTGGGGCAAGAGGTGAGTTCAGTCTCAAGGTTTCAAATCAAATCCAATTTTATTGGTCACATACACATTTTTAGCAGATGTTATTGCGGGTGTAGCGAAATGCTTGTGTTCCTAGCTCCAACAGTGCAGTAGTATCTAACAATACACATCTAAAAGTAAAAGAATGGAATTAAGAAATATATAAATATACAGTGAGGGAAAAAAGTATTTGATCCCCTGCTGATTTTGTACGTTTGCCCACTGACAAAGAAATGATCAGTCTATAATTTTAATGGTAGGTTTATTTGAACAGTGAGAGAATAACAACAACAAAAAATCCAGAAAAACGCATGTCAAAAATGTAATTAATTGATTTGCATTTTAATGAGGGAAATAAGTATTTGACCCCCTCTCAATCAGAAAGATTTCTGTCTCCCAGGTGTCTTTTATACAGGTAACGAGCTGAGATTAGAGCACACTCTTAAAGGGAGTGCTCCAAATCTCAGTTTGTTACCTGTATAAAAGACACCTGTCCACAGAAGCAATCAATCAATCAGATTCCAAACTCTCCACCATGGCCAAGACCAAAGAGCTCTCCAAGGATCTCAGGGACAAGATTGTAGACCTACACAAGGCTGGAATGGGCTACAAGACCATCGCCAAGCAGCTTGGTGAGAAGGTGACAACAGTTGGTGCGATTATTCGCAAATGGAAGAAACACAAAAGAACTGTCAATCTCCCTCGCCCTGGGGCTCCATGCAAGATCTCACCTCGTGGAGTTACAATGATCATGAGAACGGTGAGGAATCAGCCCAGAACTACACGGGAGGATCTTGTCAATGATCTCAAGGCAGCTGGGACCATGGTCACCAAGAAAACAATTGGTAACACACTATGCCGTGAAGGACTAAAATCCTGCAGCGCCCACAAGGTCCCCCTGCTCAAGAAAGCACATACAGGGCCGTCTGAAGTTTGCCAATGAACATCTGAAATGATTCAGAGGAGAACTGGGTGAAAGTGTTGTGGTCAGATGAGACCAAAATCAAGCTCTTTGGCATCAACTCTACGTGTTTGAAGGAGGAGGAATGCTGCCTATGACCCCAAGAACACCATCCCCACCGTCAAACATGGAGGTGGAAACATTATGCTTTGGTGGTGTTTTTCTGCTAAGGGGACAGGACAACTTCACCGCATCAAAGGGACGATGGACGGGCCATGTACCGTCAAATCTTGGGTGAGAACCTTCTTCCCTCAGCCAGGGCATTGAAAATGGGTCGTGGATGGGTATTCCAGTATGACAATGACCCAAAACACACGGCCAAGGCAACAAAGGAGTGGCTCAAGAAAAAGCACATTAAGGTCCTGGAGTGGCCTAGCCAGTCTCCAGACCTTAATCCCATAGAAAATCTGTGGAGGGAGCTGAAGGTTCGAGTTGCCAAACGTCAGCCTCAAAACCTTAATGACTTGGAGAAGCTCTGCAAAGAGGAGTGGGACAAAATCCCTCCTGAGATGTGTGCAAACCTAGTGGCCAACTACAAGAAACGTCTGACCTCTGTGATTGCCAACAAGGGTTTTGCCACCAAGTTGTTTTGCAGAGGGGTCAAATACTTATTTCCCTCATTAAAATGCAAATCAATTTATAACATTTTTGACGTGCGTTTTTCTGGATTTTCTTGTTGTTATTCTGTCTCTCACTGTTCAAATAAACATACCATTAAAATTATAGACTGACCATGTCTTTGTCAGTGGGCAAACGTACAAAATCAGCAGGGGATCAAATACTTTTTTCCCTCACTGTACAGTTGAAGTCGGAAGTTTACATACACCTTAGCCAAATACATTTAAACTCAGTTTTTCACAATTCCTGACATTTAATCCTAGTAATAATTCCCAGTCTTAGGTCATTTAGGATCACCACTTTATTTTAAGAATGTGAAATGTCAGAATAATAGTAGAGAGAATGATTTATTTCAGCTTTCAGTTCTTTCATCACATTCCCAGTGGGTCAGATGCTTACATACACTCAATTAGTATTTGGTAGCATTGCCTTTAAATTGTTTAACTTGGGTCAAAAGTGTCGGGTAGCCTTCCACAAGCTTCCCGCAATAAGTTGGGTCAATTTTGGCCCATTCCTCCTGACAGAGCTGGTGTAACTGAGTCAAGATTGTAGGCCTCCTTGCTCGCACACGCTTTTTCAGTTCAGCCCACACATTTTCTATAGGCTTGAGGTCAGGGCTTTGTGATGGCCACTCCAATACCTTGACTTTGTTGTCCTTAAGCCATTTTGCCACAACTTTGGAAGTATGCTTGGGGTCATTGTCCATTTGGAAGACCCATTTGCAACCAAGCTTTCACTTCCTGACTGATGTCTTGAGATGTTGCTTCAATATATCCACATCATTTTCCTTCCTCATAATGCCATCTATTTTGTGAAGTGCACCAGTCCCTCCTGCAGCAAAGCACCCCCATAGCATGATACTGCCACCCCTGTGCTTCACGGTTGGGATGGTGTTCTTCGGCTTGCAAGCAACCCCCTTTTTCCTCCAAACATAACGATGGTCATTATGGCCAAACAGTTCTATTTTTGTTTCATCAGACCAGAGGACATTTCTCCAAAAAGTACGATCTTTGTTCCCATGTGCAGTTGCAAACTGTAGTCTGGCTTTTTTATGGCGGTTTTGGAGCAGTGGCTTCTTCCTTGCTGAGCGGCCTTTCAGGTTATGTCGATATAGGACTCGTTTTACTGTGGATATAGATACTTTTGTACTTGTTTCCTCCAGCATCTTCACAAGGTCCTTTGCTGTTCTTCTGGGATTGATTTGCACTTTTCGCATCAAATTACGTTAATCTCTAGGAGACGCAACGTGTCTCCTTCCTGAGCAGTATGACGGCTGCGTGGTCACATGGTGTTTATACTTGCGTACTATTGTTTGTACAGATTAACGTGGTACCTGCAGGCGTTTGGAAATTGCTCCCAAGGATGAACCAGACTTGTGGAGGTCTACAATTTTTTTTCTGAGGTCTTGACTGATTTCTTTTGATTTTCCCATTGTGTCAAGCAAAGAGGCACTGAGTTTGAAGGTAGGCCTTGACCAACATCCACAGGTACACTTCCAATTGACTCAAATGATGTCAATTAGCCTATCAGAAGCTTCTAAAGCCATGACATCATTTTCTGGAATTTTCCAAGCTGTTTAAAGGAACAGTCAACTGAGTGTATGTAAACTTCTGACCCACTGGAATTGTAATACAGTGAATTATATGTGAAATAATCTGTCTGTAAACAATTGTTGGAAACATTACTTGTGTCATGCACAAAGTAGATGTCCTAACCGACTTGCCAAAACTATAGTTTGTTAACAAGAAATTTGTGGAGTGGTTGAAAAACAAGTTTTAATGACTCCAACCTATAAGTGTATGTAAACTTCCGACTTCAACTGTAGGTGGTCAACAATCCTTTTCATTCTGGTTACTATGACCACACTCACTGTATTTATTAGTTGCTGTTTCTCAGTCACTGTGGCCATAGTGCAGCGACACAACTTCTTCCCTGTTTCCTTGCAGATCCAAAAGGCAGTGAAGAAGTCTGCCCGGAGGGAGCAGCTGCAGCGGGAGGAGACGGAGCAGAGGCGGCTGAAGACTGTTCTAGAGCTGCAGTTCCTGCTGGACCGGCTGGGGGACGAGCAGACGAGGCAGGACCTGAAACAGCCCGCCGCAGGCTCCCCCCTGCTCACCGATGCTGACCTCACCGCACTGGACAATTTCTACAAGCTGGTGGGCCCTGAACGGGACCATGACGTCAGGTACAAACCTTTTTTTGTTTCTTTTTAACTTTTGTGGTAAATGACGAACGAGTGAGGTAATATAATGGAAGGCATGTTGTTAATGTCCTTCCCTGTTCTCTAGGTTGACTGACCAGTATGAGGAGGCCTCCCTACACCTATGGGAACTGCTAGAGGGCAGAGACCAGGCTGTGGCAGGAACCACATGTATGTTTCTAACACTTTTGAAGTAGCTCTCAATGTATTTACTCTGTACAGTTTAAGTCGGAAGTTTACATACACTTAGGTTGGAGTCATTAAAACTAGTTTTTCAACCAATCCACAAATTTCTTGTTGACATCATTTGAGTCAATTGGAGGTGTACCTGTGGATGTATTTCAAGGCCTACCTTGAAACTCAGTGCCTCTTTGCTTGACATCATGGGAAAATCAAAAGAAATCAGCCAAGACCTCAGAAAAATAATTGGTGACCTCCACAAGTCTGGTTCATCCTTGGGAGCAATTTCCAAATGCCTGAAGGTACCACGTTCATCTGTACAAACTATAGCACGCAAGTATAAACACCATGGGACCACGCAGCTGTCATACCGCTCAGGAAGGAGACGTGTTACGTCTCCTAGAGATGAACGTACTTTGGTGCGAAAAGTGCAAATCAATCCCAGAACAACAGTAAAGGACCTTGTGAAGATGCTGGAGGAAACAAGTACAAAAGTATCTATATCCACAGTAAAACGAGTCCTATATCGACATAACCTGAAAGGCCGCTCAGCAAGGAAGAAGCCACTGCTCCAAAACTGCCATAAAAAAAGCCAGACTACGGTTTGCAACTGCGCATTGGGGACAAAGATCGTACTTTTTGGAGAAATGTCCTCTGGTCTGATGAAACAAAAATAGAACTGTTTGGCCATAATGACCATCGTTATGTTTTGAGGAAAAAGGGGGTTGCTTGCAAGCCGAAGAACACCATCCCAACCGTGAAGCACTGGGGTGGCAGTATCATGCTGTGGGGGTGCTTTGCTGCAGGAGGGTCTGGTGCACTTCACAAAATAGATGGCATCATGAGGAAGGAAAATGATGTGGATATATTGAAGCAACATCTTAAGACATCAGTCAGGAAGTTAAATCTTGCTCGCAAATGGGTCTTCCAAATGGACAATGACCCCAAGCATACTTCCAAAGTTGTAGCAAAATGGCTTAAGGACAACAAAGTCAAGGTATTGGAGTGGCCATCACAAAGCCCTGACCTCAATCCTATAGAACATTTGTGGGCAGAACTGAAAAAGCGTGTGCGAGCAAGGAGGCCTACAATCTTGACTCAGTTACACCAGCTCTGTCAGGAGGAATGGGCCAAAATTCACCCAACTTATTGTGGGAAGCTTGTGGAAGGCTACCCAAAACGTTTGACCCAAGTTAAACAATTTAAAGGCAATGCTACCAAATACTAATTGAGTGTATGTACACTGGGAATGTGATGAATGAAATGAAAGCTGAAATAAATCATTCTCTCTACTATTATTCTGACATTTCACATTCTTAAAATAAAGTGGTGATCCTAACTGACCTAAGACAGGTAATTTTTACTAGGATTAAATGTCAGGAATTGTGAAAAAAATGAGTTTAAATGTATTTGGCTAAGGTGTATGTAAACTTCCTACTTCAACTGTAGGCTTTGGCTTGTTTAATTAGTTACCCACATCCCCATATGTATACGGAGTATCTTGGGGCTTATCTTAGATTTGAGGGGGAAAAATAGCTTGGAAGCAAGGTTAGCTGAGCTGGCTTAACTGGGAGCAGCGTTATGACTAAAGCCCATCCATCACCCAGCCCCTTGGAGCACAAAGGGCATGCTGGATGTGCAGGCCATGTTAGCAGAACATGTATAAGGGGAAGCTCTTTTCTGGGTGGTTGGGTGAACTGGGGTGAGGCCAGTGGGCTTTGAGGGGTAGTGCCAGCCCAGACACAGGACACCTGTCATTCCACAAACACTGAGCATCCACCTCCCAGGTTCCAGAGACAACTTTGCGGTGGATCATATGGCATTGTGGATTATGAATACTTGAGGGTTATTAAAGTGCTTCGAGCAGTGGATCTTGGCCAGGCCTGGCACGGTGCTGTGGAATGGGTCACAGCTGTGATTATACCAAACATAGACCCGGCCTATTGACTAACTCTTGAGTGCTTCGTAGCACAACCCAAACGTTTCTGTTATGGATTGGGACCACTAAACAGTGGTACATTTTATGCTTTATCAAGACCTTTCTAATACCTTCTGAATATGATCTGCCACTTTCCTATAGACAAGGCACTGAAGGAGACCCTGGACAAGGTGCTGCTTAGTGGCTATTTTGACAGAGCACAAACGCATCAGAATGGAGTGTGTGAGGAGGAGGAGGTGGTGGAAGAAGAAGAGGAGGAGCAGTCTGTGGCGCATGAGTCGTCTGGGAGTGGGGAGCAGCCTGCAGAACCAGGTAGCCACCATCACCATAATCTCCCGTTGGCAGAATCTGTGTGTAGACAAGAGAATCTGCTAGGACTGAATTGAATGCGTGAGATTCGAGCAGCATTAGTTCTGTTTTTTAGGTTTTTGTCACTGGCTATTTGGAAGTATCAGTATGAAAAATGTATGCACTCACTAACTGTAAGTCGCTCTGGATAAGAGCGTCTGCTAAATGACTAAAATGTATCAGGATTGGGCGAAGGCGGTGCTTAAACTGCTTCGCCTTGAGCGCTTTGGCTGAGAGTTTCCTTTTGCGAGGGTGGAGACTTTGTTTTTGCCGTAACTCTCAATTTCTAATACGTATGAAGACAGACTTTAATCACGCAGCTGACCAAATTACGTGAGGTTTTACTTCTGGGTTAACAGATTACCATCACCTGAGGGGAACTCATGTTACGATTGGTCTGAGTGTGTGGACCTGGGTGAGTGGATATTAATCAGAGCGTATTCTTTTTACAGAAGAAACAGTTACTGAAGAATACACAGAGGCCGTTGAATTAGAAGCCACGGAGGTGAGTTCAATCTCTACCCTGACTCTTGACTGCTGTAAAGTTCAGAACTCTCTGGTTTACCTTGCCTATTGGAATCTAATCAAGTGATCTCATGTTTATTTGTGTAGTTTGTAAACAGACAGTTCATTCCAGAAACCACATACAGCAGGACTGGCAACGACCAAGTAGAGGAGTGGACGGCAGAGGCCCAGGTATGTTGCATGTCTACACCTCATGTCATTTGTCACAAAGTCTCACACAGAATCCTTTAGGGTTCATCAAGTAACTCCATGGCCCAATGATGTCATCAGCTGGGTTTAAATCTGTCCCTGTGTCTTTAGGTGGTCAACGCCCTCCAGCACCAGCCTCCTCCCCAGATGGCCCCCGAGCCCCACACTGTGAACCCAGTCTCCCACACGCCTGACCCCGTGGTCAGGAAGCAGGTCGTACAGGACCTCATGGCCCAGATGCAGGGAACCTATAACTTCATGCAGGTGATGATCCTTCCAACAGCCCCCTATGGTCCTGAACTGGGTGCCTTATTGGATCCTGTTTGGTGACTTGTTCATGCTGACCCATGTGCTTCCTCCCACAGGACTCCATGTTGGAATTTGATGGCCATGCCCTGGACCCAGCCATCGTGTTGGCCCAGCCCATGAAGCCTGCACAGAGCGTGGACCTGCAGCAGATGGGTCAGTGTTAGTACATCACATTCTGTTTTAACTCCCCTCAAACCAACACCACCACTCAGAGGCTGTAGTCCTCCTAGAGATGTTCACATATACACTCATAGACAGTTTATTAGGTACACCCATCTAGTACCGGGTCGTACCCCTCCTTTGCCTCTAGAATAGTCTGAATTATTTGGGGCGTGGATTCTACATTGGTATCAAGGGACCTAACGTGTGCCTGGAAAACAGTCCCCACACCAGGCTGGATGGGTCCTTGGACTCATGCTGCATATGCCAAATCCTGACGCTGTCATCAGCATGATGCAACAAGAATCAGGATTAGTCTGAACAGGCGATGTATTTCCACTCCTTAATTGTCCAGTGTTGGTGATCGCGTGCTCACTGGAGCCGCTTCTTCTTGTTTTTAGCTGACAGTGGAACCCGGTGTGGTCTTCTGCTGCAATAGCCCATCGGTGACAAGGATCGACGAGTTGTTCATTCCGAGATGCCGTTCTGCACACCACTGTTATACTGCGCTGTTATTTGCCTGTTTGTTCTTGCCATTTTCCTTCGACCTCTCATCAACGAGCTGTTTTCACCCACAGGACTGCCGCTGACTAGGTGTATTTTGTTTGTCGCACCATTCTCAGTAACCCCTAGACACTGTTGTGTGTGAAAAGATCTGGAGGGTGGCTGTTTCTGAGATACTGGATCCGACGCACCTGGCATCGACGATCATACCACTCTGTCTCTTAGGTCACTCATTTTGCCCATTCTAAAGTTCAATCGAACAGTAACTGAATGCCTCGATGCCTGTCTGCCTGCTTTATATAGCAAGCCACGGCCAAGTGACTCACTGTCTGTAGGAGAAAACCATTTTCGTGAACGGGATGGTGTACCTAATATACTGGCTGGTGAGTGTAGTACTGCTCATATACTCTTGAGGTTTGTCAGTGTTCAATTTTAGTTGCTCTAAACTGTTTTACCGACAAACCATTTTATATTTATCTTGTGTGCAGTTCATTCAGAATCCAGACTTCCTCAACCAAGCTCAATTCCTGAATCTACACAAGTAAGTGGCAATAATGACACTTGAACAGAATTCTGATAGTAGTGGTCCCCAAGACTCAATACAGGACTTATTTAAAGGGCAAGGGTACCATGTGAACCTTCCCTTATTCTCCCCCTTCCCTCCCCAGGTCCCCATGGTATCCCCCACACCTGATGCCTACTCCTCCACACCACCCCTCTACCAGCCCTCCCACACAGCAGAGCCCCAGCCACAGACAGACAGCACCGACCACATCCAGGTAAACCCTCCCTCCCCAAGGTGCCCTCTATTCCACCACCCTCTACCCCCCTGGCTGTGTGTGTGTGGGTGGTGGAGCTTCTCTGTGCTTGGCTGTTATTGGGCAGTGTGAGAGATGGTTAGCACTCATCCTACCTGCTTTTCCTGAAGTGTCTGTGAAAACCATTGAAGTATGTGACGTCTCTGTCTCCCCACCACGCCCCGCCCCCTCCCTAAACCAGGCCTCGACGTCTCTGTCGTCTGAGCAGTCCCCCGCCCAGTCCTCCTTGCCCTCTGCCTTCCCGCCTGTCTCCACCCCCCACAGCGGCGGCATCAATGTCAACGCAGCACCATTCCAGTCCATGCAAGCGGTAGGCTTTGTTAATGGAGGACTTATAACTGACAACGCGTCACTTGAACAAAACCGGCATATAACCCACTTAACTCGAATCACTTATTACACAACTATGGTAGCACAAGTCTTACGACAGGGAGAATAGAAGTAGTACACACTATCACACAACAGTAATACCAGATTTATTTGCAAGGATAATAAAAAAACTGATTGGGACATCAAAACTGAATTAATAAGTATAATTCCAGTGTTTGGCCTACATTTCTCAAAACCAAGCTTCACTCCTATTTCCTCCCCCCACCCCCACACACTCCACTCTGTCAGAGCAGAATAGAATGCTCCTCTTGTCTACCCCCATGTCTACATAAGGCTTTATAATCAACTTTAAGCTGATTAACTTTATTTTGCGAACCTTGAACAGTATGTACGGCATGCTCAATAATCAGACTAAAGTCTGAGTTACTGATGATTTGCTGTTGTCTGCGAGTCCTGCACGGGCATCTGCCACCTCTAAATGAAAGCTTTTCTCTGGTTGTATTGTGTCCTTCAGGTGTTCAACCTCAACGCCCCCGTGCCCCCCACTAACGAAGCAGACAGTCTGAAGCAGAACCAATTCCCCAGCAGCTACGGCCAGGGCTTCAGCAGCCAGGCGGAGCACTCCGTGGAGCACTCCGTGGAGCAGCCTGACATCCAGCAGGACACGCTACAGTCTGGTGAGAGAGGGACTGGGGTGGCTGTTGGGCCTGAGGGTGTGACTTAGACAAGCAGAGTCTGAGGAGCAGTAGACCTTGGGTCTAAGGGCATGATCAGCAGAAAGATCAAATGTTAATGACTCTTATAATGTTGTAGGAGGCTTCCACACCCAAGACCAAGTGATATCGTCGGCAGCGGGCCACCAGGTGCAGTCGTCCCAGGGGCCAGGCTTTGGGCGGCAAGGCCAGTCCTTCTATAACAGCAGGGGGGCCGTGCCTCGCGGAGGCCCCAGGAACCCCCGGGGCATGATCAATGGATACCGAGGATCCTCTAACGGTTTCAGAGGTATGAGATCCAGATGATTTATTGTAAGGGACCTACTTTGACACATGAGTGATTTATTACGGCGTTAACCGTTTTTAAATGGTTGTCTTCCTCAGGAGGATATGATGGCTATCGCCCTCCCTTCTCGAACACTCCAAACAATGGTTATGGGCAACAGGCCCAGTTCAGCACGGCTCCCCGGGACTACTCCAACAGCACCTATCAGCGGGTAAGGGAGGACACAGCCAACCACTAGGTCCTAGTGACTAGAAGACACTTGACCCTTGCATTAAGGTTGCGTTAGTCCAAATAAAAGGGATTCTGTGAGTTGTTGTCCCAGATGCTGTCATGAAGATGGTGTATAAGAGTCTTTCTGAATGACCTGTTGTTTCTACAGGAGGGATATCAGCCAGGCTACAAGCGGGGAGCAGCCCAGGGACCTCGGGGTTGCTCTCGAGGTAATGCTCAAGCCATGCGATCCTAAAGCGCTTAAAGGATTGTCAACTTACTGCCACATTGAACATTCAGATATTATGAATGTGTTTGCCCCAGCTCACTTTTATAAATCTTTTTTGTTTTGTTTCTCATCTATTTTTGTTTTTCCTGGCCTCCTTTTCAGAGTAAGCCTGCTTTGGTATGTCTAAGATACTTTTGTTTTAACACATGTAAAGCTGAAATCCACAGCATTTAGATTTATCAGCAAGTCTGTGTTCGAAACAACAAATAGATATTCCTGTAAACTTGAAAGATTTCATTAATTTATTTTTTGTACAAAATAAATGCAAAAAAAAAACCCTGCAACTGTCAGTCCAATCCATGAGAATCTTTTATATTTTCTGTCACTGCCCAGCCCTGTCAACCACTTTTCCCTGTGCTTTTGGTTTTCATAACATTACTTGTTTTTTTCTTCTCCCACCATCTCCTCTTTGTAAGCCGATGTTACTCCTTGGGAGACTGTTTCAATAAAGATGTGTTGTATAACCTGCTGTCTGCTGCTAGTTTCTTTTCGTTGGTCCCTGAACCCTGCTGCTCTGTGGGGCTACTGCAGCATTATCTGCCTGTGCTGACATTATCTCTTGGGGTTAAGAGTGGGCTGGAAGATTTTAGTTATGCTTTGCTGAAAGGACTTCTCTCTGCTTCTGTCTCCCTCACCTGCTGTGCCCTGCCTTCCAGTGATGGGTGGAAGTAGTCTGTATTTTGTCGTGGGAGCATACATATTATATTGGTGGCTGTTAACATGCTTGGAAACATTCATGAAACGTAAATGTCACTGAGTTTCAAAGTAAACCTGTGGTGTTATTTGTAAATCGTAGGGCTCCATCTGGCAAAATGCATACTATTCTGCATGACCTTGATAAAAGCTTTCAAAGCTGTTTTTAGATTTGCAGTGAATATTGCCACTGTGTGTATATAACTGAATTGACATGAAGGCAACTATTACCTTTCCCTTGTTTTCAGGATTCCATTTTGTAATGTGTATTAGCTTGCTCGTAACAGTCAATGTCCATTTTGTCTCCCTATTAGAGTTGAGAGATCTCTTCCTTGGCAGGTGCACACTAGCAATTTCAAAGAATGTGGATGAGCGTTTTTGATTACTCCATGCCCAGACCTAACCCAGAATAAGGGTGACGGGCTGGCCTCAGCTGACTATGATTATTTTCTATCTGCTTAGCGGTTGCAGGCCGGGGGGGACTGTTTAAGCCCAGCCGAGGGATGGTGACCCAAATGGCTGCACATCAAGCCAACTAGTCTTGGATACCAACGACTCTTCTACCCTCAACACTCCTGGACCACCCCTCCCCTTATGACTGTTCCTCTCCATATCAACCTCTAGTTTGGTTTGGTGAGGCCTGGGTCTGAAGCCATACATGCCACCCTTAACTCTTGTCAGATCTTTAGCTTTCTCACAATCATATGCTATTGCATTGCCTTAAACGGATCAAGCTGGAACATGTGTGCCTTTGCTGTTGGACTGTTTATTTGGGTCTCTGCTCGATAGGCAATAATTTACAAATCAGTGGCTGGGGCTAGTGACAGGCTTTGGAAGCATGTTATAAAAGACCAAACAATATGTTGACTAAGGTCAGAACACACAAGGAAATGTTTTTGTCTCAATGTGAAGGTTGTGTGTACTGTACATTGTATTGCCATGGCATGTTTGGGAGTAAGGTCTGTCCAAATGGTGTGCAGTCTATGCAGGTTGTAGGTCTGACTGAATGACGGACTGCTCATTAAGAGTACTTTGGTCTAGCCAACTGAGGCATTTGAGAGAAAGGCATTTGAAGGACTGTTTACCCAAAATGAAGATTTCCTGTGTGTACATTTTGCTCTGGCCATATGGTAGCTGTTAGTGATGCACTGAATAAATGCACTGTTCTGTAAATTTGCATTTGTCACTTCATATCTGCTCTGTCCAAAAACATCATACATGGAACTGATGTCAACCCTGGAGGTCTGTAGAATGTAAGGATTGTGTCAACTTCATAGCTATAAAGAAACAAGTCATCACCACTTTATCCTGTCTTAAATTGAACAAAAGTCTACAGCAATATTGATGTTTTCCTGTGCAACTGGTCATCTGAAAATTAAACTCATCTTTTGTACAAACAACTATGGAACATTTTATACAAAGTAAAATTAGGCACACCTCTGGATGGTGCAGGAGAAAATAGCATTTGCCCGAGCTAGCAGAATTTGGTAAAAGTAAACCAATATAAAGGCCCAATATAGGACAGACTGGGGGTGATTTGCTGAGTACAAAAGGTAGACCTCATTGCCTGGTAATGGGCATGTTCAGTATCAATACATGTACTGGCCTTGGCCAAGACACACCTGCAGGTCATTAGGAACAGTAACCTTATTCAAGCACAGACTTGAAAACAAGACGTGATTACCTATAATCTCCACAGAAATAACCAGATCATCAACTGATTCTTACATTTGCAAATCAGTTAAGATAATACAAAGAGCTGGCTATAGTATAGTTACCACAAAAGTAATGTACTGAAAAATAAGACTGCAATCCACTCAGGTTTCCCATGACTAGTGCCCATAACAGCCAAGATAAGAATACATTGCTGTTATCAGACTTGAGGATATGAAATAAAGTTGTGGCCAAGCTCATGCCATGTAATACACAGGAATTAACCCATAAAAAAAGTATATCTATATTCTATTCTGTTCCATGAGACAGTTTTGTCTTTACTGTTCATAATGCTCCCAATGCCATTTTCAGTGTCTTTTGAAATGTAGCCTTTTCAGGAATCCATCAATTTCACAACTTTATCCTTATTCAGGTGGAGTGACCAGACAATTATTAGGCCTAATTGTCATGACATCACACAGCACTAATTCAAAACGATGTTCCAAAATATATAGACATTGACACTACCAAAACCATTCCACCAAAGCTATGCATTTTAAGTAATGATCAATTATGACATTTACATTTTAGTCATTTAGCAGACGCTCTTATCCAGAGTGACTTACAGTTAGTGAGTGCATATATTTTTCATAGTGGTCCCCCGTGGGAATCGAACCCACAACCCTGACGTTGCAAGCGCCATGCTCTACCAACTGAGCTACAGGAGGCCTATGACCAAACCATACATCACATACACATATGCACTCTATAACACAAATTCCCTGACTGCAAATGTATAAAACATTTCTAGGCCTTGAAGGCTCAAATTGAAATCCACAAGTGGGCAGGGATACTGTAAACGCCTCCTGTGTTCTCCAGCTGGTTTTCAGTTAACTCTTCAGGATAACAGGGGCCACACATGCCCATATGGCGGGATCTCTGCACACTGGACTGGAGGTATATAGGTACTGTAAAGGGCTGTGGGTGGGGGGCCATGGAGCCAGCGGTGTTGTCTATAGAGTTTTATCTGGCAGCTGGGGTTGAGTGAACTGGTTCTGATGGGGGCCTTATGGTAAGTCATGTTGGCCCTATGGCACTGCCTGATGGCCTGGTGGCAGATCCTGGAGACGTGGTTGGGACAAATCCTGGATGTTGTGGGGTATTTGGTTCTGGAGGTGGTTGTCTTGCTTCATACCCGGGTGGTTTTGGGACATATCTTGGTGGCCCGGGGACAACGGATGGTTCTCTCCTTGTGGCTCTGGGATAGCATTCCCTTCTACTGAAAAAGAGAGTCGAGTTTTGAATACAGTTCATTTTTCAAATCTTGAGATACATTTTCCTCTACATTCTGAAAAATACACGACACACCAGTAAAGAGAAAATGGAATAGGGGTAAACCATCACTCACCATGAACCTCTGGAGGGGGCTCAACTTTCTGGGTTTTCAACCGTTCCATGTGTTCTACTGCCTGAAACACCACAGACAAACAGATAGAGATAAGCACAGACACCTCAATGGATTGTTGTAGGTAAATATGGCAGCTCATGTCAAAAAGAACAATACCACACAAAACAATACCACACAGAAGAAGTGCATTCCAGTAACAGAGAACCTATTGGTTGTGTCTGTTCTACCACTGCCCACTGTACCTGCTGAAGCTCTACTTTCTGTGTGTTGAGCTGTTCCTGCTGCCTCTCCAACTCATCCCTCTGTTTCTGGAGTTCTGATGCTTTCTGGTTGAGGTCCTCTTCCTGCTGGGCCAGGTGCTCCTCAAACTCCCTCATCTCCTCATCTGTGTAGGCCTGGTTCTGCTCTAGGGTCTAACAAAGGAGGCCGTGTCAGTTCATACCCTTCTACCTCTCCTTACTGATTTAAAAAGCAACAGAATTACAGTGTGGTTGAATGTAGGGGTATTTACAGATATGGTATGATTTTTGTTACTCTTTCCGTTTCATAATAATGAGTTATAATGTTGAAGTATTAAAAGTAGGTCAGTATGAATGAGAGTTGAATAGATATAGCTACACACCTCCCAACTATCTGGTTCCAGGAATTCCTTTTTCTTTGTGGCAATCAGGAACTCTTCTAAGGAGACCAGTCTGTCTTTGTTGGTGTCCACCTGTGAACAGTGAGAGATCAGTCACCATGTGAACTATTTATTTCTTTATATCAATGAAACCAATCTCTAACTTTCAGTGATAGCAATCCTTGGGAATATAGTATGCAAGGTTCACGGCCGTGACAACAGTACACCTCGTTCATGACGTGCTCTCTCATACGCAGGCGCTCCTCCTCCATCTCCACCATATCGTCCTCTTCATTGGTAGGATCATAGATCTTCTCCAGCTGAGGCCCACAGAATAAACCGTTATCTATACACGCACACGTTTCATTATCATTTCAGGTGAGACATTCAAAAAGAGGACAAATCTTTACCTCCTTTGTAAACAACGCCTCCAATTCCTGCTCATCGAAGAAGCCATCTCCATTGGAATCTGAAAATTCAAACGCGAGAATGTTGAGGAACTCCGTGAGATGGATCTCCCAGCCCCAGCCTGTGATGTCTATTGATGAGGACTTACCATGCAGCTTGAAAAAGGTCTTGGGGTCAAAATCTTCAGGGTCAAGACCATCTGCTTCCTCCCACAACTCTTTGAACTGATTCTGGCTGCCCTGCACAGCAAAATAACAACAAATGTTAGTCCTGTTAGATATAAATGGCTCACTTGAGCTAATCATTAAGTATGGGGAAGGTCTAGAGCAGAAATGGGCAAATGGCCGTCCACCTTTTGTAGGCCTGCAGATCAATTTCCAAAAACAAACAAATATATACAGTATATGCATACTGAGTGTCCAAAACATTAGGAACACCTAACTAATATTGAGTTGCACCCCCTTTTGCCATCAGAACAGCCTCAATTCGTTGGGGCATAGACTACAAGGTGTCGAAAGCATTCCACAGGGATGCTGGCCCATGTTGACTCCAATGCTTCCCACTCTTGTGTCAAGTTGGCTGGATGTCCTTTGGGTGGTGGACCATTCTTGATACACACAGGAAACTGTTGAGTGTGAAAAACCCAGCAGGGTTGCAGTTCTTGACACACTCAAACCGGTGCGCCTGGCACCTACTACCATACCTCGTTCAAAGGCACTTAAATATTTTGTCTTGCGCATTCACCCTCAATGGCACACATACACAATCCATGTCTCAAGCGGCAGGTAGCTTAGTGGGTAAGAGCGTTGTGCCAGTAACCGAAAGGTCGCTGGTTCTAATCCCCGAGCCGACTAGGTGAAAAATCTGTCGATGTGCCCTTAAGCAAGGCACTTAACCCTAATTGCTCCTGTAAGTCGCTCTGGATAAGAGCGTCTGCTAAATGACTAAAATGTAAAATGTAAATGTAATTGCCTCAAGGCTTAAAAATCCTTCTTTAACTTGTCTCCTCCCCTTGTTCTACACTGATTGAATTGGATTTAACAAGTGACATCAATAAGTGATCATAGCTTTCACCAGGTCAGTCTATGTCATGGAAAGAGCAGGTATTCCTAATGTTTTGTACACTCAGTGTATATTGTTAAGGAACTCATTTGGGGTCTCAACTTACTGTTGGGAGTTAGAATAGTAGAATACACAAGGTGCAATTTCGAAATGTGGTTGTGCATCAGCAGTTTTTCTCTTGTTATGTCAGTCACTGACAGTCACTCATTTAGACCATGTCAGCTAAACATTGTTAGACACAGACCCTCGAGCCAATGCGACCCCTCATGATGAGTTCAGATTTATTGTGGCCCCCACCCCCATCAAAGTTGCCCATCCCTGGTCTAGAGACTGGCTAGACCATGTGAGCACAAACAGACTGAGCACTGAAACGCACAGTTAACATAGCATCCGAGTGTAGTTGGACTTACTGGATGGTTGACTTTGGGATGGTCTGCATGTTTCTTCTTCATCTCCTCGTAATGTTCTTCCTCCTTCTTCCTCCCTTCATCATCTAGAGTCTTGAGGTGTTCGCTTCGCTCATGGTCTTTCATCATCTCGTACTTCTTGAACTCCTCATGGCGCTCCTTGTCATAGTTCTCCAGATCGTTTGTGGCCTTGTGGTCAAATGAAGGATGAGAGTTAAAATGTCTTGAAGGAGAAGAAGACTACAGGTACTTCATTAAGGTATTGTATGTATGTACCATGAAAAAATGCCATGTTGTCTACATTATACTTACTGATTTGATGAGTCTGTCCAGATCCTCCACTTCAAAGGTGTGAGGATTCATGTGGTTCAGGTACTCAAACTGTTTCAGCAGAGCTTGGTGGTCTACTGCCATATCTGTGAGTGAGGTTTAACAGAATCATTACACACATAGGCACTGTAATAGTTATCCCGTGCTGCAGGGTTGTGTTGCTGTTGGTCAAAGCTCAATAACCCTGTGTGCATCGGTACTAGCCTGTAATCCTGCCAATTAGTGGTTTAAGTGAGACGTTACTGTTGTGTCTAATACTGTGCTGTTACTATTGTGATTTGAAACAGAGATAACATATTCAGAAGCATGTTTCACAAGTAAGTAGCTGACTCAACACTGACGCTGCACTAACCACGTCCTCCTGAGACCTTTGCCTCAAAAATGTACTTCTTGGTCACTCGCCCACACACCCTAGTGTTTTTAGATGTTAACAGTATAGCACTTAAGGCATATTAATGGTGTTTTCACTGGGCAGCATACCGTTCCCTCCTTCGATGTCTTGCTTGGCTTTGATCAGTGTCCGTAGCCGGCTAACCTCCTGCCTTTTTAGTTCGTCCAGTTGTGTCCTTACATGGTGGCTGACAAAGTCCAGCTCTTTGGCCAGCTTCCCCATCTGTAGGAAACGTGATGTAATGATTATCATACTGCTGCTGTTTTGCATTTTTCATGACTAATGACTCAATGAGAGAGTCAGAAGGACAAGAATGAGCAGGACACTGTTAGAATACCTTGATGTCCTCCATATCTGTGTTATGGAGCTTCTCTCTGAAATGCTGGTCTTTTTCCAGAAAATCAATCACTTCCCTGAGATAACGGTCATAGTGGAGTCCAGTGTCCTGTTACATGAAATAATGTTGTAAGTGGTAGTAGTATGCATAACATAACATGCATACTAGCTCATGCATCATTCAATAGACCTTCAGTTCAGTCTGTATACGTTACTAGTATAACTGGTCTGAGCTTGTACTGGAAGCACAAATTACTGCTTTTATCATGTCTGTTAGGGCTGCTATGCCTGCCATGTTTCTCCACTGTGCATGCTTGGTATGTGATCCTTCACCAGCTCTTACCACACTTGGTGGCGGCTCTGAGGCTTTGTCCTCCGGCTGGTTCACCTTGGTCTTGTCCACACTGATGGGCACTGCCTCCAGACAGAGCAGCTGTACCAGAAGCGCAAGGCAGCTGGTGTGGAATACCCGGCTACAAGACATCTGGAGACACAAGACGCACCTTCACACAACAACACATGGCAAGCAACACCTCAACCAGAGAGGATAGAAAACATCAGTCTCTGCCCCAAATAAAGTGGCTGTGCCCCAACCATAGAGAAAGACAGAGGACTCTTCGTGTCCCATTATGGCCTCTGAGTGCACGGGCATCTCCATTTTGAAGTAGTCCATTTTCTTCTACTACTACTTCTATGAGTTGGTAAACAAACTGAAAGGGTGCATACTGCCACCTGGAGTATGTTCTTTGAAAAGGTATAAAGCCAAGGCTGGCGACGTACTGCCACCTGCAGTTATGGAGTGTTTGCACACAAGCATAATTAATTAGCTGATTCCTCCTGATGACCTGGATTGAATTATGTGATCCTTCCTTAACCCATAGGAAGTCCCACCCAGTTGACTACTAACACATAGGAAGTCCCACCCAGTTGACTACTTAAAAATGTTGAAAGTAAAGATGGTAGATAAATGAAGATGTCCCACTCAGGCCGTTTACCATTGGGAAAAAAGGCACAGTTCCGGTCTGCTTACAAGGGTGGCTCTCCCATAGGCACCAATGCATTAGCAGCTGGGTCTGGCGTGCTTAATTAATTGACTGTATAAGAACCCGAAAAAACTAGCGAGTGGGATGTCTCGCTTCCTCTTCCATCTCTGGCGGAAGTCCTTAATGGCGCTGCCCATGATAAAACCGGCTTTTGGGCACTAACATGCTGACTTCACCGGCCACGAGCGTGCATGTTGATTTTGTCCATCCACACCAGACACGATCATGACATGCTGTTAAAATATCAATCTCATCAATCTACACACAATACCCCATAATGACAAAGCGAAAACAGGTTTTTAGAAATGTTTGCAAATTTGTAAAATATAAAAAACAGAAATACCTAATTTACATAAGTATTCAGACCCTTTGCTATGAGACTCGAAATTGAGCTCAGGTGCATCCTGTTTCCATTGATCATCTTTGAGATGTTTCAACAACTTGATTGGAGTCCACCTATGGTCAATTCAATTGATTGGACATGATTTGTCTATATAAAAAGGTCCCACAGTTGACAGTGCATATCAGAGCAGAAACCAAGCCATGAGGTCGAAGGAATTGTGCATAGAGCTCTGAGACAGGATTGTGTCAAGGCACAGATCTGGGGAAGGGTACCAAAAAACGTATCCAACATTGAAGGTCCCAAGAACACAGTGGCCTCCATCATTCTTAAATGGAAGAAGTTTGGAAACACCAAGACTCTTCTCAGAGCTGGTCGCCCGGCCAAACTGAGCAATCGGGGGAGAAGGACCTTGGTCAGGGAGGTGACCAAGAACCCGATGGTCACTCTGACAGAGCTCCAGAGTTCCTCTGTGGAGATGGGAGAACCTTCCAGAAGGACAACCATCTCTGCAGCACTCCACCAATCAGGCCTTTATGGTAGAGAGGCCAGACGGAAGGCACTCCTCAGTAAAAGGCACATGAAAGCCCGCTTGGAGTTTGCTAAAAGGCACCTAAAGACTCTCAGACCATGAGAACCAAGATTGAACTCTTTGGCCTGAATGCCAAGCGGCACGTCCGGAGGAAACCTGGCACCATCCCTACAGTGAAGCATGGTGGAGGCAGCATCATGCTGTGGGGATGATTTTCAGCGGCAGGGACTAGGAGACTAGTCAGGATTGAGGGCAAGATGAACAGAGCAAAGTACAGAGAGATCCTTGATGAAATCCTTCTCCAGAGGGCTCAGGACCTCAGACTGGGGCAAAGGTTCACCTTCCAACAGGACAACGACCCTAAGCACACAGCAAAGACAATACAGAAGTGGCTTTGGGACAAGTCTCTAAATGTAATTGAGTGGCCCAGCCAGAGCCCGGACTTGAACCCGATCGAACATCTCTGGAGAGACCTGAAAATAGCTGTACAGCGATGCTTCCCATCCAACCTGACAGAGCTTGAGAGGATCTGCAGAGAAGAATGGGAGAAACTCCCCAAATATACACTACCGGTCAAAAGTAGAATAATAGTGAAGACATTAAAACTATGAAATAACACATATGGAATCATGTAGTAACCAAAAAAAGAGTTAAACAAATCAAATAATTTGAGATTCTTCAAATAGCCACCCTTTGCCTTGATGACAGCTTTGCACACTCTTGGCATTTTCTCAACCAGCTTCACCTGGAATGCTTTTCCAACAGTCTTGAAGGAGTTCGCACATATGCTGAGCACTTGTTGGCTGCTTTTCCTTCACTCTGCGGTCCGACTCATGCCAAACCATCTCAATTTGGTTGAGGTTGGGGGATTGTGGAGGCCAGGTCATCTGATGCAGCACTCCATCACTCTCCTTCTTGGTAAAATAGCCCTTACACAGACTGGAGGTGTGTTGGGTCATTGTCTTGTTGAAAAACAAATGATAGTCCCACTAAACCCAAACCAGATTGGATGGCGTATCCCTGCAGAATGCTGTGGTAGCCATGCTGGTTAAGTGTGCCTTGAATTCTAAATAAATCACAGACAGTGTCACCAGCAAAGCACCCCCACACCATAACACCTCCTCCTCCATGCTTTACGGTGGGAAATACACATGCGGAGAACATCCATTCACCCACAACGCATCTCACAAAGACATGGCGGTTGGAACCAAAAATCTCAAATTTTGACTCCAGACCAAAGGACAAATTTCCACCGGTCTAATGTCCATTGCTCGTGTTTCTTGGCCCAAGCAAGTCTCTTCTTCTTATTGGTGTCCTTTAGTAGTGGTTTCTTTGTAGCAATTCGACCATAAAGGCCTGATTCACACAGTCTCCTCGGAACAGTTGACGTTGAGATGTGTCTGTTACTTGAACTCTGTGAAGCATTTATTTGTGCTGCAATTTCTGAGGCTGGTAACTCTAATGAACGTATTATCCTCTGCAGCAGAGGTAACTCTGGGTCTTCCATTCCTGTGGTGGTCCTCATGAGAGCCAGTTTCATCATAGCGCTTGATGGTTTTTGTGACTGCACTTGAAGAAACTTTCAAAGTTCTTAATTTTCCATATTGACTAACCTTCATGTCTTAAAGTAATGATGGACTGTCGTTTCTCTTTGCTTATTTGAACTGTTCTTGCCATAATATGGACTTGGTCTTTTACCAAATAGGGCTATCTTCTGTATACCAACCCTACCTTGTCACAACAACTGGTTGGCTCAAACGCATTAAGAAGGAAAGAAATTCCACAAATTAACTTTGAACAAGGTGTAACAGTGTTGCTTCCGTCCCTCTCCTCACCCCTACCTGGGCTTGAACCAGGGACCTTCTGCACACATCGACAACAGTCACCCTCGAAGCACCGTTACCCGTCGCTCCACAAAAGCCGCGTCCCTTGCAGAGCAAGGGAAACAACTACTTCAAGGTCTCAGAGCGAGTGACGTCACCGATTGAAATGCTACTAGTGTGCACCGCTAACTAGCTAGCCATTTCACACCGGTTACACTCACCCCCCTTTTGACCTCCTCCTTTTCCGCAGCAACCAGTGATCTGGGTCAACAGCATCAATGTAACAGTGTTGCTTCTGTCCCTCTCCTCGCCCCTACCTGGGCTTGAACCAGGGACCCTCTGCACACATCGACAACAGTCACCCTCGAAGCACCGTTACCCGTTGCGGAAAGAACTACTTCAAGGTCTCAGAGCGAGTGACGTCACCGATTGAAATGCTACTAGTGCGCACCGCTAACTAGCTAGCCATTTCACACCGGTTACAAAGGCACACCTGTTAATTGAAATGCATTCCAGGTGACTACCTCATGAAGCTGGTTGAGAGAATGCCAAGAGTGTGCAAAGCTGTCATCAAGGCAAAGGGTGGCTATTTGAAGAATCCCAAATATAAAATATATTTTGATTTGTTTAACACTATTTTGGTTACTACATGATTCCATGTGTCATTTCATAGTTTTGATGTCTTCACTATTATTCTACAATGTAGAAAACAGTAAAAATAAAGAAAAAGCCTTGAATAGGTAGGTGTTCTAAAACGTTTGACCGGTAGTGTATATACACCACTATTTCATAAAAATCACTACCCCATTAACTCTTCTGCAGTAAAATCTCATACACCCTGGTACTTCTCTGCAGCTGCCACCCACACTCGTTAAAAACCCACTACCCCTTTCCACTACTTTTGACCCTATCTGCTCCTGCACCATTCCAACGGCCTGGGAGGACGGGCCACCACCCCTCAACACACCCTGTAACTCTGAAGTCAAATCTCGTATAAACAAATACTTCTCTGCAGCTGCCACCTCGGCAGTACAGAAGATAACCATTGCTATGAACGCTAAAAAGCCAACCTCACTCGTTGCCCTATCCCTCTGTGGCACAAATCTACTACCCATCCTGCACTACGCTGACTCTGGCCACTTCAACTTGCCTCTCTCGCACCGGACACTTCCGATCCCCAGCAACATGAGCACCCCTACAGTTGACACGCAACTTTATCCACCGAAACTACACAATCCTCTGTCCCATGCCCTCCTGCACACATATTGTAATCTCCATCCCAGTACACACTGCTGCAACATGACCATAAACGTTGCACCTAAAACAGTTACGGGGATTCTGTACAAAAGCTCTAACAGGATAACTAATATATCCTAACGTGACTTTGTCTGGTAGAGACTGACTCAAAACGACTGACAATGAATCCTGTTTCACCACGCCCCCCACCGGGTCTTCTAGCTATCTCCATGGCCCCAACCCCATATGTTTCCTGTCCATTTCTGACGTGTTTCTCTGCCATCGATAGCTAACTAGCTAAGCTATTAAAAACATGATAGCTAGGAGGTGATACTTTTTATCTAACTAACTAGCGTGCTACAATTTAAATCACCATAAATTCAATAGCTAGTCGTCTAGCTAACGTTACACTTTACAGGCAGACTCACTGTGGTCAATACAATAGCTTAGCTAGTAGTGATGATGATGGCTAGCTAGCTGGTAGATGGCTGGCTAATGTAATGACAGCTAGCTTGAAGCTAATTATGAGGTTTCCATTTCCACCCAAGCTAGCTAGTTAGCTAAATAACACCGATACTGGGTCTTGTGTCGACCACAACGAGAAGTTCCGATCTCTGTCTCATTCTCAAAATAACAATAGCTTCAAACCAATTCATGTCACCGCGGGACTTACTTTTTGGTCGGAATCCCCGTCAATCGGTCGCCACTAGTTACTACAGTCAAAAAGTCATAACCCCCACCTAGTTCTATACTTTCTCTTCTTAAAATTAGATTTTAAACCTAACCTTAACCCCAGTGCTAACCTTACATCAACACCAATTTAGTTTTCATTAATTTTTACGATATAGCCAATTTTGACTTTGTGGATGTGCTATCTAGTTGGAAAACCCGGCGTCAAGCTAATTTAGCTAGCTAACTAGTCTCCTCCCTAGCTGATAACTCGTCCTCTCGTCCCTTCCTTGGTGCTAGCAAGCATTTGTTTACAGTGCCAGATACCAAGTGAATGAAATCCTACATTGATAACTTGGCTTGCGTGCTAAATTGGGTAGTTGCCATTGGCTAAAATCTTCACTTCCTACTTTCTGAAGACGTGCATCGTTATTCGATTAGGCCACGCACACTGCCAGTCAAAGGCTTAGGGAAATTATGTGCTATCATGTTAGGTTGCACTGAATCGTACGTGGCGTTCATAATTTGGAGGAGGTGGGTGTTCCCTGATCCTGGATCAGTGTAGCTTTCTTGCCATGACATCAAAGACAGTACAGTGTCTAGAAACTCTGTGACACAGGAGGTTGGTGGCACTTTAATTGGGGAGGACGGGCACGTGGTAATGCCTGGAGCTGAGTGAGTGGAAAGGTATCAACAACATCAAACACATGGTTTCAATGTGTTTGATACCATTCCATTTGCTCCATTCCAGCCATTATTATGAGCCGTCCTCTCCTCAGCAGTGGATATGGTATGTGAAGACGTTTAGATAGGGAGATCTGATCCCAGGTCGTTTCAAAGCTGCATTTTTGACTTCGTCATTCTTACATAGCTAGTTCAATTAAGCAGCCTTTATTTTCAATACACCAAAATCATACATTACACTCAGATAATTATGTATTTGGGGTGAAGCATAAAGTAGACTTTATTGAGTTGGTTTAATGGGATTGCTTGGACCATTACATTTTAGACATTTAGCAGACACTCTTATCCAGAGCAACTTACAGTTAGTGAATACATATATTTTTTATACTGGCCCCCCGTGGGAATCGAACCCACAACCCTGGCGTTGCAAACACCATGCTCTATCAACTGAGCTACATCCCTGCCGGCCATTCCCTCCCCTACCCTGGGCCAATTGTGCGCCGCCCATGAGTCTCCCGGTCGCGGCCGGTTGCGACAGAGCCTGGATTCGAACCAGGCTCTCTAGTGGCACAGTTAGCACTGCGATGCAGTGCCTTAGACCACTGCGCCACTCAGGAGACTATTGAGAAAATTGATCAGCAGCTTTCAGCAGGGTTATTGTATGAGTGAACATTACTAAGCTAGAAATATTAGCTATGCCAGAAAGACATGTATGTGGTTTTCTAAATATACTGAACAAAAATATAAACACAACATGCAACAATTTCAACGATTTTACTGAGTTACAGTTCATATAAGGAAATCAGTTAATTTAAATAAATTCATTAGGCCCTAGTCTATGTATTCCACATGACTGGGCAGGGGCGCAGCCATGGGTGGGCCTGGGATGGCATAGGCCCACCCACTTGGGAGCCAGGCCCACCCACGGGGATCCAAGGCCCAGCCAATCAGAATGAGTTGTTCCTCACAAAAGGGCTTTATTACAGACAGAAATACTCCTCAGTTTCATCAGCTGTCAGGTTGGCTGGTCTCAGACTATCCTGCAGGTGAAGAAGCCGGATGTGGGGGCTCCTGGGCTGGCGTGGTTACACATTGTCTTAAACGACAATGGAGGCAGCTTATGGTAAAGAAATTAACATTCAATTCATTGCACGCTCCCTCAAAACTTGAGACATCTGTGGCATTGTGATGTTTGACAAAACTGCACATTTTAGAGAGGCCATTTATTGTCCCCAGCACAAGGTGCACCTGTGTAATGATAATGCTGTTTAATCAGCTTCTTGATATGGCACACCTGTCAGGTAGATGGATTATCTTTGCAAAGGAGAAATGCTCACTAACAGGGATGTAAAGACATTTGTGCACAACATTTTAGAGAAATAAGCTTTTTGTGCATATGGAAAATGGCTGGGATCTTTTGTTTCAGCTCATGAAACATGGGACCAACACTCTACATGTTGCGTTTATATTTTTTTCAGTGTACATGGCTCTGGGCTATTTTATCCATAAACAATCATTATTATGACCATAGAATTAGAATGAGTCATTAGAATTAGAATCATTCTATTTCTATGATTATGACATTATCATCATTATCATTATGAGGACAGGTGTTGTTACATGATGAATGATGACATATGCATTCTATTTGTCAAGTGGATCAAGATTAGCCATTAGTCAACTTCAAATTCAAATATAGCTGCAAGCAGCCAGGGTTCAAGCTTTGGCCACATAGCGCCACCATCAGGACAAATTGGCCACATTGCTAAATTCAATGATTACCAGCAGTGTATTATAGTGTAATTTTGATTAGTGAATCTTGTGATATTTATTTCAGAGCAAGAGGGATTTGGAGCAATAACTTGCTTGAGTGATCAATGGATTGATATATCTATAAACTGTCATGGATCAAAGTCCATCTCGTTCATCAATGGCCCCTTCTATAGAGGAACTCACTGAAGAAATGTCTCGAATGGTTCAGGAGGTCAGCGAACTCACTGGGATCTCCATGAGCCAGATCCTTGCATCCAGAACCTCCTTGGGAACGCCAGTGACTTCTGTTTCCCAACTCCTTGCATCTGTGACATCCTTGCATTCACCAATGCCACCTCTTCCTAGAGCCGCTTGGGGCTCCAAGGAACATGACTCTAATGAGAGAAGCATTACTAGCCATTTGAGTGTGGATAAGTCATGGCCTTTTGCAATCTACCCACGCTGTGAGGAACTGATCCAACAAGAAAGAATGCCTCCGCTGGAGAAGTATCCCTCTCCTACCGTGCCAAAGAAGAGATCGAAGAGCCGGGCAATGTCTTCCCTGTCGCTGAGGTCAGGGTGCTCTGAACAGACCCTGACCAGTATCCATGAGGAAGATGAGACTAAGGTGGTGATGGATATAATGGCTGAGGTGGAAAAAGTGGCAAGTAAAGACTTCTCCAAGAAGAAGGCCTTTTTCTGGAGGAGACTGAGATGTCTTTGTTGCCTGGGGAAGAAGAAGGCTGCTACTACAAAGAAGACCAAGGTGGAGGAGCATGAGCAGGTAAAATGGTCACTCTGTGTACAGTCAAAGTCACAAATGTTCAAATTTGTCTTAATTCTCTCTTCTAAATTCTATTTTTTCTGTTCCCTTTACAGGAGAATTCTGAGGTGACCCAGGATGCTGTTTTCCCTACTGGGATTTCCTTAAAATGCTCAGGAAATGATTGATGTCCTAAATCAGAATATTTTAATAAAATCAGAATATTTTAGTTGTCAGCCTCTGTCTCTTCCACATGTATGATATATTTAGGGTTTTCCTTAGATTATGCTCCAAATTAGTCAGGAGATTAGGTCAGATATTCAGTCCATGATCAAGTGTCAGACTATAAATCAAATCAAATAAAATGTTATTTGCCACATGCGCCGAATACAACAGGTGTAGACCGTACAGTGAAATGCTTACTTACAAGCCCTTAACCAACAATGCAGTTTTTAACAAAATAAAAAAATGTGTTAAGTAAGAATAGATAAGTAAAAAATAAAAAATAGCAAATAATTAAAGAGCAGCGGTAAAATAAAATAACAGTAGGGAGGCTATATACAGGGGGTACCGGTACAGAGTCAATGTGCGGGGGCACCGGTTAGTCGAGGTAATTGAGGTAGTATGTACAGTGGGGAGAACAAGTATTTGATACACTGCCGATTTTGCAGGTTTTCCTACTTACAAAGCATGTAGAGGTCTGTAAATTGTATCATAGGTACACTTCAACTGTGAGAGACGGAATCTAAAACAAAAATCCAGAAAATCACATTGTATGATTTTTAAGTAATTAATTTGCAATTTATTGCATGACATAAGTATTTGATCACCTACCAACCAGTAAGAATTCCGGCTCTCACAGACCTGTTAGTTTTTCTTTAAGAAGCCCTCCTGTTCTCCACTCATTACCTGTATTAACTGCACCTGTTTGAACTCGTTACCTGTATAAAAGACACCTGTCCACACACTCAATCAAACAGACTCCAACCTCTCCACAATGGCCAAGACCAGAGAGCTGTGTAAGGACATCAGGGATACAATTGTAGACCTGCACAATGGTGGGATGGGCTACAGGACAATAGGCAAGCAGCTTGGTGAGAAGGCAACAACTGTTGGCGCAATTATTAGAAAATGGAAGAAGTTCAAGATGACGGTCAATCACCCTCCATCTGGGGCTCCATGCAAGATCTCACCTCGTGGGGCACCAATGATCATGAGGAAGGTGAGGGATCAGCCCATAACTACACGGCAGGACCTGGTCAATGACCTGAAGAGAGCTGGGACCACAGTCTCAAAGAAAACCATTAGTAACACACTACGCCGTCATGGATTAAAATCCTGCAGCGCACGCAAGGTCCCCCTGCTCAAGCCAGCGCATGTCCAGGCCCGTCTGAAGTTTGCCAATGACCATCTGGATGATCCAGAGGAGGAATGGGAGAAGGTCATGTGGTCTGATGAGACAAAAATAGAGCTTTTTGGTCTAAACTCCACTCGCCGTGTTTGGAGGAAGAAGAAGGATGAGTACAACCCCAAGAACACCATCCCAACCATAAAGCATGGAGGTGGAAACGTCATTCTTTGGGGATGCTTTTCTGCAAAGGGGACAGGACGACTGCACCGTATTGAGGGGAGGATGGATGGGGCCATGTATTGCGAGATCTTGGCCAACAACCTCCTTCCCTCAGTAAGAGCATTGAAGATGGGTCGTGGCTGGGTCTTCCAGCATGACAACGACCCGAACCACACAGCCAGGGAAACTAAGGAGTGGCTCTGTAAGAAGCATCTCAAGGTCCTGGAGTGGCCTAGCCAGTCTCCAGACCTGAACCCAATAGAAAATCTTTGGAGGGAGCTGAAAGTCCGTTTTGCCCAGCGACAGCCCCGAAACCTGAAGGATCTGGAGAAGGTCTGTATGGAGGAGTGGGCCAAAATCCCTGCTGCAGTGTGTGCAAACCTGGTCAGGTCCTACAGGAAACGTATGATCTCTGTAATTGCAAACAAAGGTTTCTGTACCAAATATTAAGTTCTGCTTTTCTGATGTATCAAATACTTATGTCATGCAATAAAATGCAAATTAATTACTTAAAAATCATACAATGTGATTTTCTGGATTTTTGTTTTAGATTCCGTCTCTCACAGTTGAAGTGTACCTATGATAAAAATTACAGACCTCTACATGCTTTGTAAGTAGGAAAACCTGCAAAATCGGCAGTGTATCAAATACTTGTTCTCCCCACTGTACATGTGGGTAGAGTTAAAGTGACTATGCATAGATAATAAACAGAGTAGCAGCAGCGTAAAAGAGGGGGTGGGGCAATGCAAATAGTCCGGGTAGCCATGATTAGCAGTTCAGGAGTCTTATGGCTTGTGGGTAGAAGCTGTTAAGAAGCCTTTTGGACCTAGACTTGGCACTCCGGTACCGCTTGCCATGCGGTAGCAGAGAGAACAGTCTATGACTAGGGTGGCTGGAGTCTTTGACAATTTTTAGGGCCTTCCTCTGACACCGCCTGGTATAGAGGTCCTGGATGGCAGGAAGCTTGGTCCCAGTGATGTACTGGGCCATACGCACTACCCTCTGTAGTGCCTTGCGGTCAGAGCTTGAGCAGTTGCCATACCAGGCGATGATGCAACCAGTCAGGGTGCTCTCGATGGTGCAGCTGTAGAACTTTTTGAGGATCTGAGGACCCATGCCAAATCTTTTCAGTCTCCCGAGGGGGAATAGGCTTTGTCGTGCCCTCTTCACGACTGTCTTGGTGTGTTTGGACCATGATAGTTTGTTGGTGATGTGGACACCAAGGAACTTTAAGCTCTCAACCTGTTCCACTACAGCCCCGTCGATGAGAATGGGGGCATGCTCAGTCCTCTTTTTTTTTCCTGTAGTCCACAATCATCTCCTTTGTCTTTATCACGTTGAGGGAGAGGTTGTTATCCTGGCACCACACGGCCAGGTCTCTGACCTCCTCCCTATAGGCTGTCTCATCATTGTCGGTGATCAGGCCTACCACTGTTGTGTCGTCAGCAAACTTAATGATGGTGTTGGAGTCATGCCTGGTCATGTAGTCACGGGTGAACAGGGAGTACAGGAGGGGACTGAGCATGCACTGCTGAGGGGCCCCTGTATTGAGGATCAGCGTGACAGATGTGTTGTTACATACCCTTACCACCTGGGGGTGGCCCGTCAGGAAGTCCAGGATCCAGTTGCAGAGGGAGGTGTTTAGTCCCAGGGTCCTTAGCTTAGTGATGAGCTTTGAGGGCACTATGGTGTTGAACACTGAGCTGTAGTCAATGAATAGCATTCTCACGTAGGTGTTCCTCTTGTCCAGGTGGGAAAGGGCAGTGTGGGGTGCAATAGAGATTGCATCATCTGTGGATCTGTTGGGGCGGTATGCAATTTTGAGTGGGTCTAGGGTTTCTGGGATAATGGTGTTGATGTGAGCCATGACCAGCCTTTCAAAGCACTTCATGGCTACAGACGTGAGTGCTATGGGTTGGTAGTCATTTAGGCAGGTTATCTTAGTGTTCTTGGGCACAGGGACTATGGTGGTGTACTCCCGAGTGGCGCAGTGGTCTAAGACACTGCATCGCAGTGCTAAACTGTGCTACTAGAGATCCTGGTTCGAATCCAGGCTCTGTCGTAGCCGGCCGCGACCGGGAGACCCATGGGGCGGCGCGCACAATTGGCCCAGCGTCGTCCAGGGTAGGGGAGGGATTTGGCCGGCAGGGGATGTAGCTCAGTTGGTAGAGCATGGTGTTTGCAACGCCAGGGTTGTGGGTTCGATAAAATAATGTATGCACTAACTGTAAGTCGCTCTGGATAAGAGCGTCTGCTAAATGACTAAAATGTAAATGTGGTCTGCTTGAAACATGCTGGTATTACAGACTCAGTCAGGGACATGTTGAAAATGTCAGTGAAGACACTTGCCAGTTGGTCAGCGCATGCTCGGAGTACACGTCCTGGTAATCCGTCTGGCCCTGTGGCCTTGTGAATGTTGACCTGCTTAAAAGTCTTACTCACTTCGGCTACGGAGAGCGTGATCACATAGTCATCCGGAACAGCTGATACTCTCATGCATGCTTCAGTGTTGCTTGCCTTGAAGTGAGCATAGAAGTGATTTAGCTCGTCTGGTAGGCTTGTGTCACTGGGCAGCTCGCGGATGTGCTTCCCTTTGTAGTCTGTAATAGTTTTCAATCCCTGCCACATCCGACAAGCGTCGGAGCCGGTGTAGTACGATTAACTGGTTCAATGATACGGAAAGTAGCAAAAAACATAGATTACAAGCTTTACTAACTATTACAATAGTCTTCATTTTATAGGGACTACCACAGATGTAGTTTACTTGAAAAACAAACATGTCACATAAACAACAGAAGAAAAATAAACACACACAGGAGCTATTTTTATTGCAGTGATGCTATTTTAAGTTTCATAATATAATTATGCAAATATTTTATACAAAATATCACCCATTCCGTGGTCGATATGAAACCTCAATAGCCATTTTTATTTAAATGAGTCCTACCATAGATAGACTGTAAAAATATCACAAAAAAGAAATCTTCCTTCAGCCTACGTCACTTCCGATTCAAAGCTTTACTTCCGAAAGGCCGCACATTTTTCTGCCTCTCTCTTTTCGCTTAGAACGCCATCATGGGTCGTATGCACGCTCCTGGGTAAGCATGTATTTCATTCGGAAATAATAAGCATATTGGCTTTTGTTATCCGTAGCTGGAACTTTTTACAGTACCTCATCAACCCCAACAGATGTTTTGTGGACACATTTGGTTAAATATTTCCACTATAATGATTTCTAGCTAGCTGGCTAACAACTAGCGTTCTGCCGCAACGGACACAGTGACATGATGCCGCGCACACAGTCCTGCCCTTTTAGCCGATGGCTTAGTCATTTAGAATAATTAAATAGTTCATAATTATATTTAGTTATATATGCGCTGATACTGGAATGGTAACCACGAACCCCCTCGATCAAATTTGTATTTAGTTACCATCAATTCGGCCTAAACCAGATTACTTTATTTGCATAAGCCAATGCTAATGTTAGCGTAGTGTAGGCTAGTTAGACATAGCTTCTATTTAAAGCTAGCTAGGTACACTACATTTATATTTGTCATTTAGCAGACGCTCTTATCCAGAGGGACATAGTTAGTGAGTGCATATTTTTCATACTGGCCCCCCGTGGGAAACGAACCCACAACCCTGGCGTTGCAAGCGCCATGCTGTACCAACTGAGCTACAGGAGACCACTCAACAGTTACAGTTAGCACCATTGTCTCCCTGTTCGATGGGGTTGAGGTCAGGGCTCTGCAGGCCAGTCAAGTTCTTCCACACTTATCTCGACAAACTATTTCTGTATGGACCTCGATTTGTGCATGGTGGCATTGTCATGCTGAAACGGGAAAGGGCCTTCCCCAAAAGGTTGTTGCAAAGTTGGAAACAGAATGTCCGTGTATGCTGTTGCGTTAAGATTTCCCTTCACTGGAACTAAGGGGCCTAGCCCTAATCATGAAAAACAGCCAGAGACCATCTCTCCTCCACCAAACTTTACAGTTGGCACTATGCATTCGGACAGGTAGTATTCTGCTGGCATCCGCCAAACCCAGATTTGTCCCTCGGACTGCCAGGTGGTGGAGTTTGATTAATCACTCCAAAGAATGCATTTCCACTGCTTCAGAGTCCAATGGTGGCTAGCTTCACACCAGTCCAGCTGACGCTTGGCATTGCCCATGGTGATCTTAGGCTTGTGCGGCTTTTGGACCATGGAAACCCATTTAATGAAACTCCCGACTAACAGTTCTTGTGCTAACGTTGCTTCCAGAGGCAGTTTGGAACTCTGTAGTGAGTATTGCAACAGAGGACAGATTTTTACGTGCTTCAGCACTCCGCTGTCCTGTGTGGCCTACCACTTCGCGGCTGAGCCGTTGTTGCTCCTAGATGTTTCCACTTACCAATAACAACACTTAGTTGACCAGGGCAGAAATTTGACGAACTGACTTGTTGGAAAGGTGGCATCCTATGACTACCACGTTGCAAGTCACTGAGCTCTTCAGTAAGGCCATTGATTGTCTATAGATTGCATGGCTGTGTGCTCAATTTTATACACCTGTCAGCAACGGGTGTGGCTAAAATGGCTGACTCCACTGATTTTGAAGGGGTGTCCACATACTTTTGTATATAGTGTAGCTAGCTAGTTACACAGTACTGCACTAGGTAGCTAGCTAGTTAGAGTACTGCACTAGCTAAATAACTAGCTAGCTAGTTGAAATGCATTATTTCAAGTCCAAACGTGGCTTTAGCAGCCCATGGCGGTTTGTCATCATGATGTAGCTAGCTACCGACTTAGAGCTACTTTCCTTCTGTTTCAGCAAGGGCCTGTCCCAGTCTGCACTTCCCTACAGACGCAGTGTGCCCACCGTAAGTATCTAGTTGGTCATTAAACTTTTGGATGGTTAACTGGCGTCTTACTATCTGTTTGTAAAATATGGTTATGAATCTGGTCAACCTGGTAATGTGACTACATGGTTTGCCAATGTATCATCATTGATACTACTTTCACTGGAATGTGCATGTCATATTGCAGAGTCTAGCTAAATACCGAACTTAAACTACAAAGGATCACTACTGTGAATAGAAGGCTCAGTGGACAAAGGGGACATCAGTCTCAACCTCAAATGTTGTTCTACAGTGGCTGAAGGTTACATCTGATGATGTCAAAGAGCAGATCTTCAAGCTCGCCAAGAAGGGTCTTTCTCCCTCTCAGATCGGTAAGGACCTTGTTCATTTGTATACTGTCCAGGCCTTTCATAAGATCGCTCTGGATAAGAGCGTCTGCTAAATGACTAAAATGTAAAATGTAATTGTCTTCTCAGTTCATGAAGTGGCAATGAGTTATGCACCCTAACCCAAAGGCCATATCAAATGAATGGTATGATCTTGTCAGGTGTGCTAAAATCAACACGTACCTTGTCGCCTTTCTCTGAAGCTGCTGTGCCGTTGAAAGTGAATTCAAGGTTCAACACTATCATTCCAGATTATTTACCAAGGCTGTTGTCCTATGCATATTGTTACTCACATTTTCTCTTCTTCCTCGCCATCCTTTTAGAACAAAAGTTCAAAGGATTGTCGTGTCTATTTTTCTACAATCAACCCATTTCGAGTTTGGCTGACCCCCACACAAAGTACAAACCACAGAGGGGAAGATACCGAGAGACTGAAGTTAGAAAAGGCTGACACTACTGTTATTCTCTCTCTCCAGGTGTGATCCTTAGGGACTCTCATGGTGTTGCCCAGGTGCGCTTCGTCACTGGAAACAAGATCCTGAGGATCCTCAAGTCCAAGGGCTTGGCCCCTGACCTGCCTGAGGATCTGTACCACCTCATCAAGAAGGCTGTCGCTATAAGGAAGCATCTGGAGAGGAACAGGAAGGTAAAAGGACCTCCTCTACATGTCTGTCTCCAGTTCACTTCTAGGGAGGGAAGAGACTGTTAAACCACCAGGAACTCAAGCAAAACGTACTGTTTGAAAATCCAACTAAATTGTGCCCTGCTGTAAAAAATGTATTGATTGATTGCTCAATGTGGACATCTGGTGAGGTTGCTCTTGCATGGCTCTGTCCTAGTGGCTTATGGGAGCGTAGCACTGTACAGTGCCATGATGTACAGTCCCGTTCCACAACATTGTACAGCAAGCCTGTTCCCAGCCTTTGGGCTGGTGGGGACGGCGTCCTGCATATTCCTACGTCTTCCCAGAGCCTCTGGGCTATGACTGGGGAGGCAAACCATGTAGTGCACAAGTTAACTCAAAATTGTAATACCAGCCTTTGCCATTGACTGTTTGAGGTTTTTGACTGTGGAAGGGCTGGTTAACTCTAGTTTTTTTCTTCTTACAGGACAAGGATGCCAAGTTTCGTCTGATTCTCACTGAAAGCAGAATCCACAGATTGGCCCGTTACTACAAGACCAAGAGAGTTCTTGCTCCCAACTGGAAGTAGTACGTATTACCGCTTTATTGGCCTTAGGGAGACCAAGCCAGCATGAAGGCATAGTACCTACTCTTCATATTTTCAGTTTGTTTGTTAGCTCACTAAATGGCACATTTCATTGTCCTGTTCTTCCCTTGTTAGAGCGGATATATTTCTTATGTGCTAGATAAACCTTGGAGGTAAATTAGTAGAGTGGCTGTTCTGTGCCAACCTGCCAGTCCCCTTCATACATCTCCATGCCACTCAGTGGTTTTTTCATTCTTACCGACTGCCAGAGGCATTACCTGAACTGGATAATTATCAGTCTCAAGCAGGCTGAGAATATATACCAACAAATGTACACACGTGTTGACTTCAGACCGGATCATCAACCATACGACTGCTTCTATTGTTAGCCGTTAGAATTGGTGACGTTCAACTTTTTGGTTGATTACACTGCTTTTTCCTTTACTAATCCCTTTTCCCTCTTGATCCACAGCGAATCCTCTACTGCTTCTGCTCTGGTGGCATAAGGAGTATTTTTCACAAATAAAGATCGATTTGGAAGGATCTTGTCTGTGTTTCTGTTTCGGGGGGGTCGTCTGTAAAGGGTGGTGAAAGTACACATGATGGTACTTATACTGAACAAAACTAAAAGCAACATTTAAAGTGTTGGTCCCATGTTTCATGAGCTGAAATGAAAAATCTCAAATGTTCCATATGCACAAAAATATTATTTATCTCAAATGTTGTGCCTAAATTTGTTTCCATCCCTCAGTGAGCTTTTCTTCTTTGACATTTTAGTGGCATATCAAGTTGATTTAAACAGCATGATCATTACAGATGCACCTTGTGCTGGGGACAAAAGGCCACTCAAAAATGTGCAGTTTTGTCACCACACAATGCCACAGATGTCTGAAGTTTTGAGGGAGTGTCCAACAGAGCTGTTGCCAGAGAAGTTTGTTAAATTTTCTACCATAAGCCACCTCCATCGTTTTAGAGAATTTGGCACTACATCCAACCGGCCTCACAACCGCAGATGTTACCACGTCAACCCAACACCTCCACATCCGGCTTCTTCACCTGCGGGATTGTTTGAAGGGGTGGGGGGGTGCTGAGGGGTATTTCTGTCTTTAAAAAAGCCCTTTTGTGGGGTGAAACTCATTTTGATTGGCTGGGCTTGGCTCCCATGGCTGCGCCCCTACCCAGTCCTGTGAAATCCATAATTTGGGCGCAATGAATTTCAATGGACTGATTTCCTTCTATGCACTCAGATTTTTAAAATTGTTGCATTTATATTTTTATTCAGTATAGTGTAGATGGAAAAATCCCCAGCGAATATAGGAAAATGCCTTGTTATTGCTAATGATGGCTAACCAATTATATTGAACGTTTTTGCTAGTTTTAATTGAATAAACAACATTTTCCTTAGTATTTCAAAGTAATTTGTATTATATAAACGCAAGTGTAGATGTATGTTACCTTGTTAAATGTGTTCTATATAATTGGATGGAGGCTCTGGTTCCTAGGCAACCTGGTGCAGTTGTGTAAAGACTGCTGTGCCCTCCAGGCTGCCTCCCAGCTCTGACTCGCAGCAGGGAAGAGAAGGTGGAGACGCGATCTAACAGACTTGGCCTACACATGCAATCAATGAGAACCCTTTGTTCTGTGGCATTTAGAGGCTAAATTAATATATTGATGGCTTAATAATGGAAAAACACCACTGCAGGGAAGTGATCAGTCATAATGCACCATTTTACCACAAGAGGGCAGCATTTAACTGCTAAATTACACTGACTGAACCAAACAAATCCCCTTAAAGGCTAAACGCCTGAAGTTACTCCTTTTGATGGTACATGTTTGTGAAGCAGTTGAATTCATGTTTTTGCACGTGCAACTTGTAGATTTATCATGGGTTGGTGGTTCTGATATTAAGTAAAAGGTGCACCACAGGCCACAAAGACTACTTTTCACTAGCAGTCTCGTAAACCCACAATCCTTAAGACTGCCAGGAAGCAGCAGTCTGATTAACGGAGCCTAACCTCTCACCCAGCAGCCCTGCTCATTTGGCCCCTCTGGGGAGACTGAGTGCAGGACCTGGAAGCTGTACTTACTCTCCATCCAGATGGAACCATACACCTGCCAGAAGATGATTCACTTCAACTTTTATTCTATGTCATGAGTTCTGTGATCCTTTTTTTCTGGAGATTTAACATGCATTGCTTAGGCTAGCTTTATTCTGCTAAAATAATAACGGGTAATGAAGGTGTCACACATTGTATTGATTTTGTATCAGTATCTGTGTTGGACAGGGGCATGGTTTTAGTGCCTGAGGAGTGAAATGCCATCTTGGTGTGATATCAGATTGCCTGGTAAGAAAGTGGAAGAGATCTTTATTGCATTTGCTGCAGAGCCCCTTCAGCTAGCACTGATTCAGCCGGAGCTGCTGCCTCCTAGGAGAGGACGATAACATTGAGTCACCTTGCTGCATTGTGAGCCTCTGGCAGTGGAGAGGCAGGAATCAGCAGCAGCAGCGCCTATACTGCAGAGCTGCGCAGGACTGTGCATCACTACTTTGTGTGAGAGGGAGATAGAGGGAGAGAGCGAATAGTGGAGAAAGGTTGACTGGGGACTGCAGTGTTATGGCCCCCTCTGCCCCAGGGTTCATGGTTTGGAGAGTTTTTCTCTGTTTGAAATGCTTTCGGGGAATGCACACCACACCAGTGTAGAAGACTTAGTACAGTGCAGCGACTGATCCCAGTTAAAAGTGTTATGTTTTTTCCCCCTCAGACTGCTACTTGCAGATACAGTTTTTCAGAGTTTGTGGGGTGTCTCCAGGACTGAGTTGCTGCAGGGGGATTCAGTGGAATGAGAAAGGCAGAGTGTCAGGAGAGTTGTCCAAGGACTCTATAACTGTGGTCCCATGGGGTCAGAGAGCTGTCAACCACTCAGTGCTGGCCCTCTCCCTCAGCAGCCTTGCTCTGAATGCCTAATGCAGCGTTCACATGCTAGTGGGAAATAGGAAACTCAGAAATGTCCAACTTGCTAACTGGTTGTAGTTATACACGTGCCACATTCAACCAGTTAGCAAGTCAGAAATTACAGTTTCCTAGTTCCAACTAGCATGTGAATGCAGCATAACATCGCTGCTCTGAGAGTTCCTGTCACTCATCAGCAAGAATAAGTTATTCTTTATGTTCCACAGAAATGTACCAAAGTTATTTTCAAATGCTTATTTGTGTGTGTTATACTGATACAATAAATGAAACAATAGCATGGTATTTGGCTCACCTAACTTCACCTATTGTTTGCAGAGTCAGCAATGAAGACAGATCACCACCACTACGGAAACACTACCTCAATATGCCAGCCTTCAACATTTTCTTCAACATCAGGCTTACTTTTTTCATCAAGGTAGGTTTTCAAAAAGAGCTGGTTTGATGTATAATATCTGTAGTCAAATGGGTTTTGAGAAGAAATAACTTTCCAGAGGAACAGTGCATCAAACCAATGGGGGACAGGCCAGCAAAGCCTCCTCCAAAGGGATTCAGTGATCAAATATTTATATTGCAGTGGGGTGTTTGATGCTTTCTACTCCCTGGGAGTGTACTCTGGGTTGTTTTTAGTCCAGGAAGGAAGGAGATTGATAACCTTTACCTAACAGGAAGCCCACGAGGATAAGGAGAGTTATTTCTCTTCTTTTAGTTGTTTTATAAATGTATTGGACCAGGAGACTGTGTTCAGTAAGAACCGGTTTAGATTAAACACTGCATTACATTTAGTAAAAAAGGCCTGATGGCAGTACTATATATATTGAGATGTAATCCACTCATTCTGAATTATGAGGAATACGTGACATTCAAATGACTATAGTAAAAAATAAAGGTTGTCATAAAGACATTGGAGAGAGGCCAGACATTATATGTTGATGTCTTCCTTTTTTGCTGTCCAGTGATACAGCTCTTTTCCCTCTTTACTTATGGAGACGTAGCCTGCTGTGTACTCAGTACTGTGACTTTGAGGTTTGCCTCACACACCCCCAAGTTAAATTTATGGGCAGCATCAGGAAATTGGGCAGATCCGTTTGATGCAGTGTAAGCGTTATTGTAATGTGTCATGGTTGGGAAGGCTCTCTGTCCTTAAGGTCTGCAGCTGCAGTGAGAGAGATGTGAAGCTGACAGATCCACAGCTAAACCAGCTTGTTGTGTACATGCCACATACACGGTCACACACACACACACACACACACACACACACACACACACACACACACACACACACACACACACACACAAACACACAGAGAGAGAGAGAGTCTGATCGTAGATGCATCATTAATTCACTTACTGCCATTAAACATATGGTCAGCCATACCACACAATAAAGCTGGCTATTAATAGCCTTTCTCTGACGACAACAATGGCCTCCTGAGCAGTTGATTCTTCTTATGTTGTGAACTTGCCCTGCTCTTGAGAGAGGTCCTGCCATGTCAGTGTATTTTTGTTATTGGGAAGTCTCTCACTCAGAGAAACCTGATAGCTGCTGGACCTGGGGTGTGAGGACTGTGAGGACAATGTAAGGCATGAGATAATAGTCCCATTACAGCACAGCTAGATGGCATATTTGTGGAACATTTCTGTCAGTATACAATTTTGACAGTACAGCTTCAGGCAATATTTACCATTAAAGAAATACAGATTTACATAGCCTATACAGATATAGACGTAATTTGATCACTGCACAGCATTTGAATTTGGAATAAGTAGGACACGTTTTGCATTTCTGTCTTCTGTAACCTCTTTCGACATCTATCCAACATATTAACCCAACACATGATACATTTCTGAGATCCTCTAGATGTTTCCATAGCCGTGGGAAGTAGGGGTGCTGAGGGTGCTGCAGTGTGGGGTGAGTTTCCTGTTTGTAGCTTTTTCTGACCTGATTCTGATCATGTGATTTCTCTGCAAAGGCTTAGTAACAACATTTTTGATTTTCTCTTGTCAGACCAATAAATAAACGCGTCATGATTAAGCTGTCCCAGTTTATATGATGTCCCACTCATTCCGAATTCACCCTATTTGAGTTTTTTAAATGCTTCTAAAGTTTGTCATTTCCACTTTGAAATTTCAGACTTGATTTGGCCTAACGAAAAATGTATCAACCCCTACAAAAACGTCCATTAATTATAATCCATATAATAATTCACATTTCCTGCTGTAGCAAACTGGCTCAAATTAAGATCCTACATCTTTAAATGTAATCTGTTAGAAAGAGAGATACATTTTGCAGACCAAGTTGAATAGTTCATTATGTGCTATGTATTTTGCACCACACTAGAAGGAAACACAATCTTATCATGTGTCCTGTGTTATAAATGAACAATGCAAACTTTGTATAAGTTATAATGCCCTAACTGTATTTATGGCCAACTTATACATACATATGCCGCGTTCACATGCTAGTTGTAACTAGGAAACTGTACTACTTGCTAACTGGTTGAAAATGGCACGCAGAGGCATCATGCCCATCAGATTTGTCCTGTTGTTTCTCTGTAGTAGCCACCTAGCAAT